TTTGTTTTGGGCACCAAGCAGTCTCTGATACAAGAACAAGCACACACATGCCTCGTTATGTCGTCTCCTTTGCCTCCGCCTCCCTGTCCGATATTTCATTTCCTGAGTAGCACCCCGCAGTTGCGGATAGGAGGGAGGGGGCGGCGGGGACGTCGGCAGTTTGCAGGGCTCTGAAGAAGCCCGCCGCAGGCGCCGACTTTTCATAAGTTATACAACGAGCTCGCCGCAGGCGCCGTTTTTTTCGTTAAAGCAATGTGGGTGCGGCGCGGGCTGGGTCGCGGGTGGATCGCGGATGGGTCGCGGGCCGGGTCGCGGGGGGGGCGACGACAACAGACAACAGACAACAGATAACAAACATCAAGCAGCAAACAAGAAACAACAATACTAACAACAACAACAACAACAACACCAACAACAACAACAACAACAACAACAACAGCAACAACAACAACACTAGCACCACCAACATGTTGACAACACCAACGACAACAGCACCACCAACAACACCAACACCAGCTCTAACACCAACACCAACACCGACACCACCACAACAACCACCACCACCGACAACAACAATAGCAACAACAACACTCCGCTCCGCAGAACCTCACTTCAGCCACGCGCCCAGGGACAGTGAATGACCGTCCGGCTCCCTCACTCTGACTCCTGCTCAGCGTTGCCTCGCGTCTCCCGCGTTTCCCCACCCCCGCTCCAGGTATTGCCAGACCTACGACGCCTTCTGCCGGATATCCATGAGTGCAGGCGGCCCCCCCCTTCCTGTATTTTCTCGGAAATTGGAGCACATACATTGCCAGTGGCAGGCTGTTTTTCAATTCCATAACTTTCTGAGGGTCGGGGACGACGTCGGGGTGGTGTGGTGTATACTTGTTTCCTTGTTTTCCCGGGGAAGCAACAAATAAAGTATACACCAGGGTCCCTATACATTAGGATTGCTGTCCTGTGTAAATTTCAGTGCAGGGCCGGCAAAAACGTCGGTTTCTAGTGTTCGGTTCCCTTTCCCACCCCTCCCACCGCCTCAGGGAGTGCGGAAGTTTTCGCCAGCACACTCAGCTCGTGGATGAGGGGCGACGGTCAGAGAGGAGGGAATACGTGACGCTCCAGCCGAGCATTGAGACGCACGGGGCGAGGCAGAATCATGACAGCACGAATGCATGTATGTGTACGCATATGTAGGCAAGTCTCCATCGATACACACATGTATATGTATGTACGTACACGCGCATGTGTAAGTGCAAATTGTGGAATGGCGTGTGTGGGCGTGGATGTGGGTGTTTCTTTTTACACGTTCGTACACACAACTAGATATAATATTCATGTGTATATACATATATATAGAGAGAGAGAGAGAGAGAGAGAGAGAGAGAGAGAGAGAGAGCGAGAGCGAGAGAGAGAGAGAGACAGAAAACACAACACAACCACACGCACACGAAAAACGAGAAGCGGCGGTTGGCAAGGCGGGGCGGTGACGAGGCGGCAGATGAGCAGAGTGGAGCGCGCCGGGCGCAGCCGTGGGAGGGCGGTGGCAGCGCGACGCCGGCGCCACGCCCAGCAGGGCGGGGAGGCCGGCAGGCGCCGCCCCCCGCAGGCAACTGCTGCCTCTCCTCGTTCTTCTGCTACTACTGCCTGTCATATGCGCGGAGCCTGGGGGCCTGGGTCCGCCCTGCCCCTTGCGCACGGGAGAGAAAGGGGCGCGCAGCGCCGGCGCCGAAGGAGAAAGAGAGGCGGAGGGCCGCGGGTGCCCTCCGACGTTCGACGGGCGAGGACAGGGACGTCTGCCCCCTCCTGGGGCGAGGGAGGAGGGGGAAGTCAGGAGGGAGAGTTCCTCCATTGTCAAGCAGTGGCGAAGCGTCCTGGCGTGCCTATGGGCCTATGGGCCTACGAAGCAATGTTCCAAGAGCCTGGTGTGGTTTCCACGCAATGTTCTTAGAGCATTTCTGGCAGGGAGTGTCTTGATTCAACGCATCGGGATTATGCTCTAAGAAATGTTTTTGTTTTTAGAACATTTTTGGGTTCTAAGAGAATTTCGTGGTAGGCCTATAGAAATACCGGGACGGTCGGTCCCTGCTCAATCCATCCCCCACTCGTCCCCTCTGCCCTCCCTGCCCCCGACTCTTCCCTCCTCACCCCCGGCCCAGTGTCGGAGGCCAGCAGGCCTACACTGACACCGAAGTCGTGGGGCTAGAAACATTTGTTTCACATGGCGATCCATTGACGATAGGCACCCAGCCAACGACAAGAGCGAAGAGACAGGAGTGGGGCGAGTGAGTGGCGGAGGAAGGGGCGATGCAGAGGACGGAGAGTCATGCGTGCACCACGAGGGGCCAACACCTCCCCCCCCCGGCCCAGGGCCCAGTAGGGGGGGGGTCTCGCGGGAAGAGCGGCGGTTCGGTCGGAGCGGCGGCGTGCGCGCGGCGCGGCCCGCGCGCGTACGACCCCGGCTGCTCCGAGGGCCGCCGCAGCCCCCCCGCCCTGCTGCGGCGGCTCGGCCGCTGTTCCCCTTCTTCTTTTGGTGCTTGCACCCATCGCTAGGGATTGCCTCATCTCATCAGCTCCCTCCTCTTCTCCTCCTCCTGTTCCTTCCTTTTCCTCCTCCTCCTCCTTCTCCTCCTCCTCTTCTCCCTCCTCCTCCTCTCCTCCTACTCTTCCTCCTCCTCCTCCTTCCTCTCCCTCCTCCTCCTCCCTCCTCCTCCCCTCCTCTCCTTCTCCTCCTCCTCCTCCTCCCTCCCTCCCTCCCTCCCTGCCTCCATCTCCTTCATCCTCCTCCTCCTCCTCCTCCTCCTCCTCCTCCTCCGCCTCGTTTCTCCTCACCCTCCTCCTTCTCCTCCTCCTCCTACTCCTCTTCCTTTTCCTCCTCATCCTCCTCTCCATTATCCTCCTCCTTCTCTCCTCCTCTTCCTCCTCCTCCTCCTCCTCATTTCCCTTCTTCTTTCTGCGCTTGCACCCATCACTAGGAGTTGCCTCATCTCATCACTCCCTCCTCTCTCCTGTCCTCCTCCTCCTCCTCCTCCTCCTCCTCTCTCCTTCCTCTTCCTCCTCCTCCTCCTCTCCTCCCCTCCTTCTCCTTCTCCTCCTCCTCCTCCTCCTCCTCCTCCTCCTCCTTCTCGTCCTCCTCCTCCACCCCCCTCCTCTTCCTCCTCGTCCCCCTCTTCCTCCTTCTCCTCCTCTTCTCCTCCTCCTCCTTCTCCTCCTCCTCCTCCTCCTTCCTCCCCCCTCCTCCTCCTCTCCTCCTCCTCCTCTCCTCCTCCTCCTCCTCCTCCCTCCTGCCTCCCCGCCTCCCTGCCTCCCTGCCTCCCTGCCTCCCTGCCTCCTGCCTCCCTGCCTCCCTGCCTCCCTGCCTCCCTGCTCCTCCCTCCTCCTCCTCCTCCTCCTTCCTCCTCCTCCTCTTTCCTCGTCTCCTCTCCTCCTCGTTTTTTCTTTCCCTCCTCCTCCTCCTCCTCCTCTTCCTTTTCCTCCTCCTCCTCCTCCTCCTCCTCCTCCTCCTCCTCCTCCGCCTCCTCCTCCTCCTCCTCCTCGTCCTCCTCCTGCTCCTCCTTCTCCTCCTCCTCTTCCTCATCCCTAGGTTCCTCCGGCAGCGTGCGGCGCAGGAGCTCTGGGCGTCGCGTAATGTTAAATCGGGCATGTCCTACAGGAGGAATTGTCGAGAACAGTAACAAGATGGCCTGGTGCCGATTTTTAGTTTTGTGTTGTGACTATGTTGGATCTTCCTTGACTATCTTCAAGTTTTCTTTCACAATCCGCCCTACAGTGGGGCCCATGCCAAGAGACACCCTGCTTGCCTCCAGGATGCCCTGGGTTTATTATGTTTCGATGGTTTTGCTATGGAAGTGACGCTCCCACACCAAAAATCAGTGGACGTCCTGGGGTCTCAGGGTTGAGCTTCTCGTGGAAGGTTCCTCGTGGACCGGCCTCAACTGTAAGCATAATGGGGGGGGCGGTCGATGGGGGGAGGGCAGCGTGGGCTGCAGAAAAGAGGCGCTTCAGGGCACTTCAAGGGGCCCCTCATGGTCCCAAAGGGGGCCTTGGGGGCCCGAGAAGTACACCTCTTTTCCCTTCCACTTGTCGCCCCCCCATTGAGCGACGCCGCAAGAGCTCGAACATCGGGGGGACCTGGACGCTGCCGGCGGGAGCCGCTCGGGGCGCTTCCCCCCCCCCCCCCCGCTTGAGGGATCGGGAGCCTCGAGACGGGGACCTATGCAAACGGAGGTCCGCCAGCAGGATCCTGCAAAGCCAGGGCTGCATTGGCCCAGGCTTGCGCGCAGGATCCTGCAAGATCCTGCAGGATCTTGCAGGATCCTGCGAAGCCTGACTGATCTGGGCTTGCATTGACCAGGGTCAGCGGAGCCCCGATCGGAAACTCGGAGCCGTCATCCGCCGCGTGATGCGAATCGTGGCATGATTTGCAGGGGATGAGGAGGAGGAAGAGGAGGAAGAGGAGGAGGAAGAGGAGGAGGAGGAGGAGGAGGGGGAGGAGGAGGAGGAGGAAGAGGATCTAGGCCTCGCCAATGGGGTCAGAGTAGATGGTGTCGGATTATTGCGCTACATTGCCCATGCATCGGCGATGCGGCTCAATGTGGGGCCCTATTTCCTCCACCGATGCGTCGCCGATGCATCGCCGACGTCGCGGATGCATCGCCGATGCACCGGTGATGCAGCGGCGATGCGGCTCGATCCTCCGACCCCATCCATTTGGACCCCGCCTGGGATGCTTCTAGAGGAGAAGGAGGAGGAGGAGGAGGAGGAGGAGGAGGAGGAGGGCGGAGGAGGAGGAGGAGGAGGGCGGAGGAGGAGGAGGAGGAGGAGGAGGGCGGAGGAGGAGGAGGAGGAGCAGGAGGAGGGCGGGAGCCAAATCCCTATGTCTTCCACCGAACTCCCGGCGGGGGGCCAGCGGCCGTCGCCTGCGAGTTGGCCGCACCCATGGGGGCCTTGGTCGGCATGTGCGCGTTCGGGGTGATCGCCCTGCTCCTGATGCGCCACGACATGTCGGCCCCTCGGCGCCCTCCCTCCCCTTCGCATCCCTCCCGCCTTCTCTGTCCCTGCCCCCTTCTCTCCCCACCACCGTGCCATCCCGCATCCCTCCTCCTCCCCCCGCCCCTCCCCGCCCTCCCCGCCCTCCCTGCCGAATTCCTCTCCCCCGGCCCCCCCTCCATTCTCCCTCCCCGCACGGCATCCCTCCTCTGCCTCTGTCTGTATATATATATATATGTATATATGTATATATATATATATAGATGTGGTTATATGTTTGTGTTTTTTTTTTTGTTTCTCTCTCTCTCTCTCTTTCTCTGACTCTCTCTCTCTCTCTTTCTTTTGTCTCTCTCTCTCTCTCTCTCTTTCTCCTTCCGTAGCCATCTTGGCGCAGGCGCAGCCGCAGGTGCCTCCCGGGCGGGCCCTGCTTTGCGCCCTGCGTGCCGCACCGGCTCGGCACCAACGTCATGCAGCACCCTCGCCCGCCGGCGGCGCCACGGCCCCGCTGGGATCCTTGTGGGTATACAAGAAACCAGTGACGTGAGAAGCACCACCCGCCCACATCAGGCTCCCAGCTAAGGCCCTGGGAGTTCTGAGCGTGTCAGAAGGAGGAGGAGGAGGAGGAGGAGGAGGAGGAGGAGGAGGAGGAGGAGGGGGAGGAGGAGGAGGAGGAGGAGGAGGGCCCAGATCACACGAGCCTGGTCTCGCGTGCCGCCGCTCCCGCGGCGCCCGCCTCCTGCACCGGGCTCGCTGCGTCCACGCTGGGGCGCGAGCCCGCGCGGAGAGAGCGGCAGCCGCCTCGTTGCGGCTGCTTTCCTGCCGAGCCCGGCCGCCGGGAAGCATCCAGCAGGAACGGGGCTGCCTCACCATCCGGGTGTTGCTAGAAGTGCCCCTGGCCCTTGGTGGGCCCTGGGAGCAGCAGGGCCGTTTTTTTTTACCGGTTCCATTCTGCCGTTTTTTTGCTGATTCCGACGCCGTTTTTTTACCGGTTCCGTCGCCGTTGTTTGACCGGTTCCGGCTCCGGTTCCGATCTTGGAGCCGTTTCTTTGCCGTTTCCGGTCGCCGTTTTTTTTGCCGTTTCCATTTTCAAGGGACACTTGTTGGTAAACGGTGAAAAACCGGCCCTGCCGTTTCCAGGGCCCACGAAGCCCTGGCCCAGGGTGCCCCCAGGATTTCCAAGGATGCCCTCACGGCCTCCAGAGCACCCTTCGCGAGGCTCAGGGGCCTCAGGGGGCTCCAAAAGGGAGCGAAAAGCTGGGGGCACCTTGAGCCAGGGGCACCTTTAGCAACCTCCGAACAGACCATCCGCGTCGGAGAGTGGGCTCGTCATCGGTGACTTCGCCATGCACGCGCCGCACGTCTCGAAGAAGACAAAACACCATAAACATAAACTGTCGGCGCTCCGCGCGGATCTCTTGGATCCGCGCGGACCCCCCCCTTGCTGCGCCTGCGGCGCCGCCTCTGGCGCGCTCTGCGCGCCGGGGAGGGGGGGCTCAGCGCGGATCCAAGAAATCCGGGCGGAGCGCCAGAAGTGTATGTTTACGGCGTTTTTTCTTCTTTAAATTTCGGCCTTCGTCCCGCTCCTCCATCCCACGATCCTCGTGTTGACCCACGCCACCTTGAGCCAGGGGCACCTTGAGCCAGGGGCACCTTTAGCGACCCCCGAACCATCCGCGTCGGTGAGTCGACTCGTCACCAGTGGCTTCACCACGCGCGTGCCGCACTTCGGCGCCCTTCCCGCCCCTCCATCCCGCGATCCCTGTGCTGATCCTCGCCGCCGTGCGCAGTGTCAGAGGGCTTACACACCGTGCGGAGTCCCAGACGACGTCCGCGGCGGCGATGTGTGCCCGGACCGGCCCCGGGAATCCTGGCGCCCAGGAGGATCACATGATCACGCCCCCCAAGCTCTAGGGCGCCGACCAAAGAGATACGAGCGGGGCTCCGAAGTGTGCTTATGGATCTCTTCTGTATTCTCCGAGGGGAGGAGGTGGAGGAGGGGGAGGAGGAGGAGGAGGAGGAGTGGAGTGGACACCATCACGAGTGTGATCCTGACGAAGCACCCGAACTCACAGCACACTCTCGAACGCCAGACCTGCGCCAGCCTGCCTCAGGACCATGGGATTTGAAGCCCGCGTGGTCCTGTGAGAAATCCCTTGCCATGTGCCGAAACTTGCCCGCCGTAGTCAACCAAAGTCACGCGCACGACAGTACAGAACTTGGGCCCAGAGAGGCCTGCACAAGATCAAGTACCGCTCAAAGCTGCAGAATACACGCACCCATAACCATCAACTCACATTTGCTTACACTCCTGCTGCTCACTACTTCGGGTGGCGGCAGCCCAATCGATCACAGCCGAACCACTAGGCAGGAAAGAAGCGGCCTGTCCTCCCCGAAGAGTCTCAGCATCTCGTACAAGTCTCGCTCTAATAACACTGTTCTCCCAATCGTTGAGCTCAGAATTCTCTCCCCCCGTCTCGCCCGCCCTGGTCGCAGCACTGTAGCTGATCACGTCGGGCTGCAACTTCGCCCCAGACTTCTCGCACGCGCTGTGAACAGGATGGTGAGTAGGGGTGGAGGCCGACGGCCGTTTCGCTTCCAACCACGCCTTGGAGATGCACGCTCGGGCGGCCCACCACACCGCTGAACTCGAAGATCCACCAGGTCGTAGGGCAGCAGCGTCGGCCACGGCAGCAGCGTTGGCCACGGCAGGGCAGTGATCCCCCGTAGGGGCCCTCACGTCGGCGCCCGTCGCCTCTGCTGCGGCAGCGCCCGCGGCGTCCTCGGCAGGGCAGTCATCCTCGTAGGGGCCCTCTGGGCTGCGATCCCTTCCGCCGCCGCTCCGTCCACCTGGCCACCGACCACCGCGACCGCGCCTGAGGAGAACACCGTGGTCCCGCAGGTGCAGACGAGGCCCGTGCAGCGCGTGTGCGCGAACGGCTCGAAAGGCTCCCAGTAGCCCGCCGACGGAACGAACTCGGTTGCCTCGGCGCGCAACGGAGTCGCATCCGCTTCGATCATCTCCATCCGAAGGTCCAGCTGGCGCCCCTGCCTCCGTTGCACTCGATTGAGTGCCCTGAACGAGAGGCCCATGAGCTGGGGAGGTTGAAGACATGCAGCGAAACGTTGCGCAGCACCTGCTCCCTATGAGAATGGGCAGGTGTGGCACCTCGCCTGGCAGCCTCGACCTCCTCGACGAGAAAAGGCAAAATGGCATCCAAGCGCCGTCGTACTTCAGGGTCGTCTGCCCATCTGCTGCGCTCCTGCAATACGTTTTTCTCCGTAATGAGTTTCCTGACCAAGTTATCGGCCGACAATGCGGCACGCGCGCGTCGCTGCCGCCGAGCTGCAGCCGCGCCAATCACATCTTCACGCCACACACACGGGGCGGGTCCCGCAGCCAGTTCATGCCTGCTCCCAGTATCCGGCGCCATGAGCTAGCACATAGAGCCAAGGGAGAAGGAGGAGGAGGAGGAGGAGGAGGAGGAGGGAGGAGGAGGAGGAGGAAGGGAGGAGGAGGAGGAGGAGGAGGAGGAGGAGGAGGAGGGAGGGGGGGGAGGAGGAGGAGGAAGCGGAGGAGGAGGAGAAGGAGGAGGAGGAGGGTTTCTGCACGAGCTTCCATCACTATGGGAAATAATAATGACACTAACATAACAACTCGGAGGTCCGCGCAGATGTCTCGGATCCTCGCTGGGCCCCCTTGGCGCCGCCCCTGGCGCGCTCCGCGCGCCAGGGAGGGGCGTCCAGCTCCTATCCGAGAAATCCGCGCGGATCTCCGAGTTGTTATTTTCATGTCATTTGTCGTTCCCCTAATCAGACCTCCCGGCAGTCCGTGTGCCACGCGCTCCTCCAGGAGCCCCGCACGGGTCTGCAGGCTCTCAGGGTCGTCTCCGCCGTGGCCCGCACTGCAGTTCCCGCCGCTCAGCCAGCAAGGGGGTGGAGGACGAGGAGGACGAGGAGGAGGAGGAGGAGGAGGAGGAGGAGGAGGAGGATGAGGAGGACCCCCTCCCCCTCCAACTTGAGTTGGTGGTGGTGGACAACTGACCCGTCCATCTCCCGGGGCCGCTGCCGAGTGGTCTCGGCGGGCTCCAGTTTTCGTGGGCCCGGTTGGGGGCCCCCCGTGGCCTTCGCCGCCCCAGGGGGGCCGCGGTGCGGTGTCTTCTCTTCGCTGCTGTTGCGTGTGTGTGTGTGTGTGTGTGTGTGTGTGTGTGTGTGTGTGTGTGTGTATCTGTGTCTGTGTCTGTGTCTGTGTCTGTGTCTGTGTCTGTGTCTGTGTCTGTGTCTGTGTCTGTGTCTGTGTCTGTGTCTGTGTCTGTGTCTGTGTGTGTGCGTGTGTGTGACTGCGGGCCCGACCTCGGCTTACGTCAGGCGATCGCAGACATGTATCCAGGGGGCGTGGATTAGCGACGGGTCCCATTTCCATTGGAAATCGCGGATGTCCGCCGCCGACCGAGGCGGTACCGGCCGCATTTGGGGGAGGGCAACTCCCCCGATCCATGGATTTGGCGACCGCACGCCAAATCCATGGATCGCTAATCCAGGCTTGCGCGCCACCGGTTACGGTGGAAGCCCATACCAAGAAACACCCTGCGTGCCTCCAGGGTGCCCTGGGCTTCTTGGGTCTCGATGGCCTTGCTGAAAGCGTGGCGCTCCCACGCCACAGGAATCCATAGACGTCCTGGGGTCTCAGGGTTGGGTTTCTTGTGGAAGGCTTCTTGTGGTGGAGCTCCTACTTCATTCAGATTGCCAGCCGCTGTCGATCATCGGAAGCCTGCGATGTCACCCGCTCCGTCTCACGAGTGTGTGACTGCAGGCTTTGTGCTGCAAGCTCGCCGCGGCCCAGCATGCCACCCATGCCGTGAAGGCGCGCATGCTCGCCCCAGAAGTCGGGCAGCACGTTGCCCGCCGATGAATGCTTCAAGAGAGCCTGATAATGATTACGCTGAACAGCTGGCCATCCTGGAAGCGAAAGCGGTCGCGCAGCTGGCTGCGCGCGTGCTCCCTGCCTGGCCTCGTC